TGGGCACCGGACTTGTCACCAGGAAACAGTTGGAGGGTCCAGGTATAGATCCCCAGTCGACTGAGGTGTGCAAGACTGATAGGGAATATTCAAGCGGCTGGATCCAATGGAATCTCTATCCCCCTACGAAGGAAGATCCCGCACCAGTACGAAGGAAGCTCCCCCAGCGACCTAAGATCCTCACGACTCGGCACAATCCCCGACGTCTCTCGTGCGAACCGCCGTCTCGTCCGGCCAACGAAGGGCCTCGTGGAGGAGTTCGGAGGGCTCGCGCAGCTGCAGCGAGCTCATCAGCAGGGCCACGTGGACCTGGCCACAGTTGTCCAAGGAGTCCACATGCGTTTTGCGTGCAAGCGCGTGTTTGCAGGACACACTGCCTGACAGCGTAGTTGCAAAAAGGATCAAAAAGGTTCCACAGTTGCATCTTCCGTGCGAAAGCTGGAAGCTGCCTTCTTTCTTTTTGCTCAGGATTAGACATCCCAAAATAGCTCGTAGTCTTCCAACATGTCAGCACTCTTCGCAGGCTGCGAGTGGGAGGCCACTCTTTCTCTGGTCAGGCGCTCCAGCACTCAGGCGCCGTGCTCCACGCGCCGTGCTCGATTCGTCCATCAATGCTTCGGCTGTTCCTTGCGGCGGTGGGGCTCTGCTTGGCAGTACCACACGTCATTTGCATTCTTTGCAGGGTAGGACTCTGTGTGTGTTACACCGTGTTGAACCGATGAAGGAAGATCTTACGATGAGTTTTGTATATATATATATGGGTTCTCTTTTCTTATCAGTTTCACTCAGGTCAGAATCCCATCTTCACCTTGCAAGCCAAGCATCTGTTTCAGGCAGCAAAGCATGCTCTAGTGGGAACTTCCCTGCGTGCTGCAACTTCTTGACTCCTCTCCTTTCCGTCAGCAACCTGCAACTTCTTGCCTCCAGGCAAGGGCCTAGGGCTGCTTGGCTTTCTATTTCCTGCATGGCGGCAAAGGTGTCTGCTCCGGCTTGCTGCAATCTGGAAAGGGCTTTGCTTTTTCCACATGCTTGCACCATCTCCTGCGCTTGCTGGGCATACGCTTTCACAACTTCAGCGCTCATGCTTGCATAGTCAACTGCAGGGCAGCCAACAGAATGCTGCACCCTGTCCATCAGCAAAACGCAAACAGACACAAGTGCCCGGCTTCCGTGCCCAAAGTCTCAACAACCACAGAAACGACACAACGTCTCTCAAAGCACCACCGAACAAAGCGACGCGTACTGCGTAAGCCTCAAGCTCGGGCCGTTCGCAGCCTCTTCAGTCTTCGGCCATGGCTTGAGCAGCTGACGCCGAACACTTTCTGACCTCTGCACCTCACCACTTAGCCCAAAGGGCTCCCTGGTGGTGAGTGTCGCCGGTTTTGACATTCAGTCTCAAAGGTGCCAGGATTCTTCATCATCCTTCTCTCCTAAGAAAATACGGCCGTCCAGCATCCACAAATCACTTGTAGTGTGCCAAGCAGGCCACTGACACCGGACAACAGCACTTCTGTGATGAATCCTACCACATCGTCCGAACCCAAGTCATCTGCCGGCGGCTTTGCATCAACAATCTTTGCCGCTTTGAAAAGCTTTCGTGCCTTTCGTGCCTGCTATTCACATCCTCCCAGGACGTGGCGAGGCGCGAACAAACCTTTGGGCGCCAAGCGGGACAGCTGGCGCATGGCTTGCGACAGCTTGGACACGAACGCGCCCGCACCAGGGGTGAACAGCTGAACCCTCCATGACGGCTTGGGCGTGTCAAGCCTTTGGTCTAAAACAATCACTTGACTTCGCTAGGGCGATGGCTTCGCCTCGCAGCAATCAACGTCGGTGCGTCCACGTCACCGCCTTCCAAAACGACTCGTTTCCGCACTTCGGACACGGGGGGGTTTGGTGGTTTTCCAAAGATGTCATCCATGTAAAGCTGGAAAACCCTGGTTTCTAAGATGTCACATCTGCAACTCCAGTGGCTCCCAGCCGGCTCAGACCCGCCAGCGGAGACGTACGGAGACCCGCCCTGGCACAAGCCGCAAGCCAAACGTCAGCTGAAACGTGTGGAGCGACTTCATCTCACCTTACAGGTTGGAGCAACTTCTCCCAATCATCTAACTCCAAAACCCAAAGAATAACCAGTCTTTCGATGTCTTGTCATCTCCTCACGATCTTTCACCAAACATCCCAGGTCGCTCGAACTCCGCAAAGCTCCTCTTTCGCCTAAGTGCTGCGACCGTGAGTGTCCTCAAATTACGGAGCAAGGCGAAGCATGAGTTCATCTTTCGCTCAAAATCTCAGCGTTCATCTGGGGCTCTAAGCCGCCACAGGCAAACTGCTCATCAGAGCAGCGGCCGTCATCAGCGCAGCGTTGATCCGTTTCCTTACGGAAAAGGGCTCATCATGGAGAACGAACACCCAACCCACAACCCACATCCGGAAGAAAAGTTGAGGCTCCGACACCAAGACCTGATGAACTTGCGTGATCCGGGCTATATATATTTACCTTGAAGAGTAAGAAATCTTCGTACTGTTTGCGGAAGAGTTCCCAACAGCCACCAGGGTTTGCTAATACATGTCTGCAAGGTAATGACAGAAATCACACACATCCATGCAAATCTGAGGTTATATAAATGAGAATCTCTTTGAACATTAAACAAACAATCCCTGAACAAATGCTAAAACCAGCAGGGACGGATCCATGTGATGGATTTTGTCACACAGTTTGTGAGCTTGACACCTAAATAGCCTTAGAATTGTTTCTAAATGAGACCAAAGGCCCTCAATGTCTGTCTTGCTACACCAATCTTTGGAACCCGTTTTCTTTGTATCAGTTATGATCATATATGGTACATATACTTATCACAATTTATCACATCTTCTTTATCACTGATCCAGTGGGTCATTTTCAGTACTGAAGTCCACTGAGGTCTCCGGTTCAACCTCCGGTTCGGCCTCGGACGGACCCACACCGCCGGTGCCTCTGGGAGGTTCATATTTTGGGACGACTGGAAGGAAGAGCGAAAGCTTGGAGTAAACATGTATGCATGTCTTTATTGGGCTTCAAGAAGTCTTTGGCTTTTAGGTGATGACTCCCCATGGAACTGGAAGACCCCATCGCCACCCCATGGACGAAAATGGAGTGTCTGGGATAGGCTCCCTGGGTCATGTGATGTTTTCTCGTCTGTGGGTCGAATCTCCAATCTCTTCACCTCAGGGCTTCTATGTTCAGCTTCTATTTTGCGAGGCGAACCAATGCTGTAGATCTCTTGTCCCTAATCCTGCACAGCCATCGACAGCATGGCAAGACATTGGTTCTATGATGTCTATACTAGAAATGTTCTACTCGGTATGGTCAAATCATTGACGCAGCAGGGTGGTCTTTCCCGTCCACTTCTTACAGCTGCTTGAGCTGACCAGCCTTTGGTCAATGCTTGGGCTAGACTTCTTTCAATCAGACCTTTCCCTCCCCATCCCTTCCCTAAAAGCCTGAGTGTGACTCGGACGTTATGCTCTTTAGGCCCTACCACGTCAGGTACAAAGTGAGCCACCAAGCCAGCCACATTTTTGCAAGCAGATTGGCTGAGTAGCTGGACTTTATTTGACCAACATGTTGCGACATACCGTGCTGCTCGGCGCTGCTGCCACCTGGAAAGTTGTATAGGAAATTGGCCGGTTTCCAAAATAGACTCTTATCTTAAAGAATCTCTCAGCGAAGGCGGCCATGACGGCCATGCTGTGAAGATCGCCACCGTCGAGGACACACCCAGCCGTTCAGAAACCAGCTGTACTCGCACTCTTGACATTCACATTCTTTGGCTAGAATCCGTTTGCAGCCAGTGAAGGCGTCAACCCCCAACTGGATCTGAGTAGTGGAAACGACCAAAGTCAAAGCACTGCATCCTGCAAAGGCCTTCACCCCAATCAGGGCCACTGAATCAGGGATGGTCACATGTTCCAACGAGCTGCATATTGCAAAGGCTCCATTCCCAATCCGGGTCACAGAGTCCGGGATGGTCACACTTGCCAAGGAGCTGCA